TACCACCCAACATCCAATCTTGAAATCTTAATGCCAATAGATTTGTTCGAAATTGCAAACCAAAATACCCAACTCGCGAATGCTAGTCCAATATGTCTTAAATAAATTTAAATCTCATGGAGGTTCAACAAGCGACCATGCATGTTTTCTTTAAAAAGAAAAAATATTTATACCAGGTAGGATGGAATTTAATGTTTCCCAAAGATTTGACCCGGCAATGAAAATTTATTTTGTACAGTTATATTTTCATGACTAGATATGTACACGTGTTATTTTTCAAGGGACCAAATTATGAGTTTTAAGAATGAGAGTAGAAACAGATTTATGTTGTTATTTCCTTATTTTATTAGGTAAATAAATTATAGAGACCAAGGATATAATTTATTTGATGAACCATTTCATTTTCCTCAATTCAAACATGCACATCCCTATATATATATATATATATATATATATATTTGTGCAAAACAATTTAAAATGACAAAGGTTACGAAAGATAAGAAACAGTTGCCTTAAAATCCACACATAGGGATGGTAATTAGGCTCGCCGACTCAGGCCGCCCGTAGCTTGGCTTGGGAAAAGCCTAAGTCGGCCAGGGTCGAGGCTCGGGTCGAGTCTCATTTTGGGAGGATGGGCCGAGCTCGAGCTAGCCCGCGAGCCTAAGAAGGAAAAAACAAATTTAGGCAGCAGCTGTGCTACCTTAAAAGGCAGCCATTAAAAAAAAAAAAAAAAAAAAAAAAAAAAAAAAAGAGGTAAAAAAAGCAAGCCTGCCCGACTCGGCCTGAGCCAAAAGCTCGGGTCGAACAAAATTTTTTTGGTCGAGTTTTTGCTCGGCCTGGCTCGAGCTCGAAAAAAAGCTCACTCACTTTACCCGAACCTCAAGTTTCGGCTCGATTTATTGACATCCCTATTCACACATGAAATGGAACATAAAAGCTCACCTTTAATCCTCCTTAAATTGAAATGAGTACCAATGGTTTCTGACTATATGATAACCCTTCATTTTCCCAAATAATCCTTTCTACTACAAATGAAAATACACTTTACACACAGAGATATATTCAAGAATAGGAAAAAAATCAGAGAAGAAGGGAAAGAGAGAGAGAGAGAGGTAGATTTCTTAAGCGTTGGGTGCTGTCGGGAAATAACATTCACCGTCCAACTCCGTCCATTCAGAAGCTTCAAACTAAGGCACATAGAGGTGCATGTGATTATTTCATTTTCAATTTATGAATCTTTGCTAATGTATGCATGAATTGGTTCTTTAGGTTATGATGTTTCGACGCTTTTATAGTTCAAACAATCATTTTTTGGCTCTACGTGTCAAAATAATTTTATATAACTTGGACTTGTCGAAAATTCATCTATGTGTTGACAAGACCCGTCCAAATCACCCTAGTGGACCCGAAACGTGACGTGCGCCGATGATAGAAGCTAACTAGATGTCAAATCTATCACCAAACCTGATTATGAGTTACTACAAAAATGTACCAAAATCAAATGCTATGTAAAATATAATGAGATGGGCTCAAATTATTTACTTTATCCTCATCAATATGAGTTATAACACTCAACATGTCGTGTGTCTCTCATTCCGAAATCATTAGGCCCTTCTAGCTAAAATGAATCAATTGCTACCTCTAGGAAAATTACGGGAAAATATATGAGTTGATAGTTTAGTGAGTGGAGAAGTTCGAAAATAATTATAATTTTTCAATTTTACATTTTTATTGAAAATTGAGTTCATATCATTGAATAGTTCACAAGATAACATCATATAACTATAACCAAAACGTAAAACATTCACACAACGTGGTGAAATATCATCTCAAGTCATGAAATAAACATAAGCTAGTAATCATGTTATATTCTCATCACATTAAATGTACTGAAAAATTCACAAAAAATGTACCACCTGCCTAAAATTTTTAATCCACTCCTTGGGTTAAGAACTTTCGTCACGCGCCTTTGGCCCTCTCCGTGAATGAAAGCCGGTCTCAAGAGGATAATCAATTTTAGAACACGATCAAGGCCACTCAGTTTACTATATGTACACGATCAAGACCCCTTCAACCCGGTCCAAGACCCCTCACTGTAATATAGAACATGCCCAAAGCTTCTCAGTGAACTAGAAGAAATATATAATCATGAGTACTTTTCTTGTCGACCTCAATATCACATATCTTACATACCAAACAATTCTCAATATCACAAATAATCCTTGAAATTTCGCATGGATCCTAATAATAGAAACTTTCATCGTAATCACATAATGGAGCAATTAATTCATATAATTGCACATACTTTGGTAAT